ATGCATGTGTAATGTGTGTGTGTGTGTGTGTGTGTGTGTGAATACGTGCATGATGTGTGTGTTTTAATGTATGTGTGATGTGTGTGTTTGATTAAATGTGTGTGTTTGATTATACGTGTGATGTGTGTGTGTGTTTTTTTATGAGTGTGGTGTGTGTTTTATCAGTGTGTGGCAGTGATGCTGAACGTTTTTTAAACTCCAGTGCCCAAACTTCAACGCAATACCAATACGCTGCAGTTTGGGCACTCAGGTTCAAAATGTTAGCAATCACTGACCTAGGGGCTCTGGGCCCACCCCTGAAAATAGGCTCGGCCAGCCTGGTTCGCCTCGGTATGCCCGATAGCAATCCGGGCCAACCACAATCAGCTACCGGCAGCCCTCTATTTAGGCATGTACTATGTACATCACTGGTCGCTAAAGGGTTACATTGCAAACAAGCCAACGGGCATCCCGGGTGGCATAATTGACCAAATATGGTCAATAAAATAAATGAAAATTAAAAATGAAAAATTTTACAAAGTAAAAAAAAAAGCAAATAAAATTTAAAAAAAATACAACCAACCCCACTGCCCCCACCATCTGCATGTGAATAAACGCATCCATATGGCATTTTGTGTGTGTGTGAGCAGAGTGGTGCCCCCATTCTATTGTTGCCATATTGTGGTGGCCGGGCAGCAACAGTCTCTAACACACACAATGTGCCAGGTTTACACCTGGGCGATCTGTGACTGTGCGGCTATCATGCACAAAACATGGGCGGGCAGCCACAGGGTCGCACTCCACTGCGATTGCGCTGGCAGTGCCATTATTTTTGAATGGCACCCCAGTCGCATCAAGCATGATAATGCGGTTTCCTGCCACAATACTGCCCGTGCAATCACACATGATTGCGGTTGAAGACAGAGCGCGGTACATGTTGCAAATCATTACATTGAAATCATTGGGGCTGCATGGTAACTGCTGTATGCAAATTGCACACGATCGCCCAAGTCTGCACTAGCCCTAAAGGGTAAATTTACTTTCCCAAGTGATTTGGGAAAATGGAATTACCCGCACAAATCTGGCCCCCTCTCGCCATACTTACCTTTCTATCTTTACCTGTGCTATGTATTCTGAATTTCGCTTGCAACGGCGCTGACCAATGAGAAATGCTTTTTAGCCAAATATGGCTAAATATGGTTTTAGTTAAAATATTTTTTTTCCTATCAGGACAAGTAGATTGTCATGAGGGACAAGTAGGTTGAGCTTTAGTCCTTGGACAAGTAGTTTTTTTTTTTAAAGTTTCCACACCCCTGGATGCTTTGTATGACTATAATCTGTGAGAGCTATAAGGGGGTGTAGTGTAGTGTGTGGGCCATGGGGGGTGCAGTGATATGAGGGTGACTGTAATAATGGGACTAAAAGGGGAGGGAGTGCAGTGTAATGTGGGGGCAATTGGGGGGGATGTGCAGTATAATGTGGAGGGGGGGTATAGTGTAATGTGGGGGCTATAAGGGGTGTGGTATAATATGGGGCTATAAGGGGTGTAGTAACCTGATACTTTTTATTCAGATTTTTTTTTTTTAAAGGTTGAATTAGATACGGCCACCACTCAATGTGCAGATGCAAATGTGGCCCTTGAGACGTTTTAAGCTTGAAACCAGTAATATAGTGCATGCATAATTGCTATTAACAGGATTGTGTTACCATTAAACTAAAGTTCTGCTTCAAAAACTCTATCATGAAACAAGTTAAAGATTCTGTTTGCAATTAACAGAGCATAAATAGTGCAGGAGGATGCAAGAATATCGATCTGCACACGCTGTAAGAAGTGATATAATTAGCTAAAGGTTACTAGGTGAAGAGTCATTACTGTCATGTGATTACAAGTGGGTGGAATGTGCTTCAGCTAAGCATTCAAAGCATTTGAGAATAGCTGACACTTTAGACCTGATGTAAATCAATCCTTTAATATTACGCATATATTTTTCCAATAGCGTTTTCATTTTTAAAATAATATTTATTACTCCTGCAGCAGATAATGCTGAAGCCCAGCTTTCAAAACTTTTACTTGATATCAAAAATAATTCTATCAAACGCTATGCATTATTTATACATATTTTAGGTCTGGGGTGTCCCTACACTTTTCGCCGCCTGAGGCGGGGGGGGGGGGCGAATGCTGGTGGTATAAAGACGTGTGAATTTTCTTTAGTTGGATATTCGTATGAATTTTGTTGAATTCGGACATTCAGATGCATCTCAATTTCCAAATTTGAACGCGTCCGAATGAGCTCGAATCCAAATGTCTGTTTAACAAAATTCGGATCCGTCCAAATTTTTTTCAAAATGGAACTAAATCAGACATGTGATTGTTCTCTGGCCAATCAAATTTTTTGGGCTGTTGGGGGTTGTGTTACTGGCAAGATCATGTCACTTTGTTCCGAAATGAAAATTTGTATGGATCCAAAATATGAATAACGCACCAAATTAAATTTCGAATCTGAAAAACTAAATATATAAAAATCTGAATCGATATGAAATGAAACACATTTTTTGTGAGGTTCTATGTCTAGGGGTACATGTTATGGGAGAAGGGGGTGGAGCTAGTGATGCATGTCACCGGGGTGGGGTGCTGGTAGTGCCTGAGGCTGCCTTATTATAGGGATGGCCCTGTCGACATCACATTCTAAGCTTGGTAACATACTAAAGGTGCAGACAGCAAGATGCAAACCTTTTTTACCTCAGACACTAGGGGACTAATTTATATGTTTTTCACCCAGCGTATAGCTGGGCGAATGCCTTTCGCATTGCATTAGCACCACTAGATGGAGGTAATAAGTAAAGTAAGCAGCATTAGCGATAAACCTCTAACATAAAATAATGAAGCTGAATTATTTTTGTCTGTTTGCCAATTTGATTTATGATTTTTACTCTAACAAAGCTATTGCTTGCTATGGACTCTCCTGCTCTAACACATGTATATATATATATATACATCTAAAACCATCATAGGGGCTACATCATTCACAAGGTTCCATTGACTAAACCTACTGAGGTTTTTTCAGCATTAAACAATCTGCATAAATAGAAACCCAGAAACCTACTAATGTAGCATTCCGTGAAACTGTTTACAAAGGGTGGACTGTGAATACCACAATATGGGTACTGTTAGGGTTTTAGACTTCTGTTTCCAATGCAGAACGCAGCCATTAATACTGAATTGGTTTTTATATGTAATTATTTCTACTTTCTATTGCTTGGCTAAACAGTTTGAACTTTGACCTTTAAAAAACAAAAAACCTCCAACACAACACAAAGATGTAGGAGACAAGGTACTGAAACATGTAAAAACTGACACCATTGATTGCAAAACTATTTAGTGGTTTGGATACTTCTGCTGATACATTTTATTGCAACTGTGGCTACATATACATTTGTTCATTTTGAGAGATAATTTATTGGCCTGGGCCAAAATGTGAGATACTTCAGGATATTTATTGCTTATTTTGTGCGATGCCGGATAGCAACGTTTTGGGGCTGCACATATTGAACCTGATAAAGGGGCCCTGTGCAGCCCCAAAACGTTGCTATTCTTGTGACAAAATGTTCATACAACAATAAAGACTTTTTGGACATATTTCCAGTGACATGTGCCGGGGACATCCTGTATCTTCATTGATCTGAGTGGCATCATCCGCAACAATTTCAGCACACAGTTTTAAGGGGTATACCAGTCAGGAATTGCGGTGGGATATTCACTGGTCCTGAAGTGCAACAACGTTTAACACAAAGATTCCCATTTTTTTTGATGATGTCGTTCACGCCTTAACATTGTGTTGCCCATCGCGTGAAGCTCAAAAAAGTACCGTACATGACCTTGTTTTTGAGCAGAATTGTGCATTTTTGGCCCCAAAGATTTCAATGAGAATGCCTAAATAGCTCTTGAAAATGAGCGTGTTATGTATTTTTTGCACAACCTTGTGCCTAACAGCCATTAACTCCTCCTAGTAACTAGCCATAAATTGGCTAAAACAAAAACGCTCAAGCCTAAAGACGCACAAAAAAAGGTGCAAAAAAAAAATTACATTCAAAATTGCCTGAAAATGCTCTCACTCAAAAAAAACAAAACCTGACATGGGTTTTAACCATTCCCTGCTGCGTTCTTTCTCAACCAGGGTGCCGTGGAGCACTGGTGTGCCTTCTGGCCTCCTAAAGGGTGTCTCAAAATTTAGTGGTAGTGGGATTGTGATGTGAAAGGGGCAATGAAGACTTATGTGAAAGTGGCTCCTGATGTAAAAGGGGAACTCTTATGTGATGGGGGAGCTCTCATATGAAAGAGGTGCTTCTGATGTGAAAGGGACACTACGATATGAAGGTGAAACCAGATTTTATTGTGTTCCCCTTAAACTCTGAAATTTTAGACTGGTGTGCCTTGAAATTTTGCATACTTTTAAAGGGTGCTTTGACTAAAAAAAAGGTTGAAAGATGTTGTCCTTCTCTATCCAAAACAGAAAAATTAACTTTAGACATATTGTAAAATTAAAGCCAATATAACATTAGATTTATTTACACAGTCCAATACGCTAGATCCCC